AAGCCCTGGCCAGGTTGATTTAGTTGGGATTGGTCCTGCCTAGAGCAGGGGGCTGGACTTGACCTTCTGCGGTCTCTTCCAGCTCTATGGGTCTATGACTCTATGATTCTAAATCTGGGGTAGGAGGGAGTTGCCAGAGCTTTTCCCCACTACCAGAGTACGTCTCCGGTGGCTGCCTGGGGGTTGTGGAAACTCCACCCCTGGAGATAGGTGAGAGCAGGTTAGGCAGACGCCTGTCAGGGATGGTCTAGACGGTGCTTGGTCCTTGGCCAGGAGCGGCAGTGAAGGAGCTGTTCCAGCACTTGCAGCTGAGTGGTTCAAGCAGGGCGTTTGGGGCTACTCCCCGCCTGCTGTCGCCAATGTCTCTTGTCTTGGCAGATGGGCTTCAGGACGAGTCCAGCGATGGAAAACCAAACCAGCCAGTCGGAGTTCATCTTCCTGGGCTTTCCCGGCACCGGGAATTTCCAGACCTACCTGGTTGTCCTGTTTTCCCTGATCTACGTTCTGACCATCCTCGGAAACATCTCTATCATCATCTTGGTGAGGATCCAACCCCGGCTCCACACCCCCATGTACTTCTTCCTCTGCAACCTCTCCTTCCTGGAGATCTGGTACACCACTGTGGGCGTCCCTAAGACCATCGCGATCTTCATGGGCAAGAGCAGAACCATCTCCTTCTCTAGCTGCATCCTGCAGATGTACTTCATGTTCTCCTTGGGCTGCACCGAGCAAATCCTTTTATCTGCCATGGCCTACGACCGCTATCTGGCCATCTGCTACCCGCTGCGCTACAGCACCCTCATGAACACCAGCCTGTCCGCTCTGCTGGCCGGGGGGTCCTGGCTCTCTGGTTTCCTGCTTCTTTCTATCCCGGCATCTTTGCTAGCACAGTTGTCCTTCTGTGGCTCCAATGTCATCAACCATTTCTTCTGCAGCATTGATTCCCTGGTTATCCTCTCCTGCACCGACACCTCTGTCATCGAGACGACAACTTTCATCATCGCCATCATCGTCATCCTGGGCTCCTGCTCCATCACCCTGGTCTCCTACGTTTACATCATCTCCACCATCCTGAGGATCCCCTCGGCCCAAGGCCGCCAAAGGGCTTTTTCCACCTGCTCAGCCCACCTAACAGTCGTGATCATCTGGTACAGCTCCACCATCTTCCTCTACGTCCGGCCTTCCAAGGAGAACTTCGTGGAGATGAACAAGGTCGTCAGCATTTTCAACACTGTGGTGACACCGCTGTTAAACCCCTTCATTTACACGCTGAGAAATAAAGAGGTGAAGGAGGCTCTGTGGAAGACATTCCGCCGGATGTGACTTTTCAGTGGCAGAGATCTTCCTGGTCTGATTTTCAGCCTGGGATCCTCTTGCCTCTGCCTCTGAAAGTCTAAGAGGCACCTAAACATTGACATAAAATTAAAAACCTGCCTTCTAAGTCCCTACATTTTATCCAAAGTCTATGGGATGGAAGATGTTAAGGGCCAGGGTTGCTGAGGTGCCTAATGAAGGAGATACGTGCCCAGAGGGATTTTCAAAAGCACTGCAGAAGTTTACCTGCCAAAATCCTGTACGTTTCAATGGGAGTGAGGCCTCCAGCTTGCTTTGGCTGTTTGAGTTTTTCCACGCAGCTCATATCTGCACCTTTCAGAAGTGACGTTGTTTTCAACAGCTGGTCCTGAGACACTATCTAGCCGTCTCCTCCAGAGCCCATTGGACTCAATAAATGAACATTTTGCAATTGAACTAAATGGGCTTTTAGTCAGTGCCTACATAGATGCTGGCTTTAGCAATGCAATTTAGGCCCCCATCTTGATGTTATTACTGATGTGCTGCCTTTCACTAATTTGAGCAGTCCAGCTGACTTTAGCAGGACTATTCACTCTAAGGCCGA